GCCCTAGTTACTGAATATCGTGATCTATAAATTAATTAAATTCAATTTTTGGGCAAGGAGACTAAGAGCTCTGGAGCTTTAGGTATGCAAGCAGAAATGTATGTTTTTGCCAAATAATCCTATAGTTCCACCTTAACCAGTGGGACGTTGCTTCTTGCGAATGAATTGAAATTAGTATTTGCATAATATTTGCCTTCACGATTAGTTGGCTTGGCATGGCCGTGGCACATATCAGTTCAAATCGGGCTCTTATGCTTTTTCCCACGGAGTTGCGCTCTGCTCGCCGACTCCTCTTAATCAGCATAAGACACCTTATTTGGCAGTGCTTGCATCCCAGACGGGTAATCTTCAGAGCCTGCTGGCATCAGTTCGGTCGCCAAGTCTAACTACTTAGGCACATATGTCTCCCTTATAGATGCAAGAGGGTATCTGCATCTAGAAAAACAGATAATCTTGGCTTTACTGTAGTGTTTGCTTGAGGTGGCGATAAGATTGCGCCCCCCCGTGATGCATGCATCTAGGCGTCTTTTCATATTAGACTGGCAGATTTTTGGAGCCGGCCTTGTCCTGTGTCAGATCAATTTGCTAAATTAGATCACTGCCCTTATTGCATAAAGCATCTATACCTAAGGATATAGACCAATATTTTGTTTAGTTAAGCCACTTTGAGGCCAAAATTCGACAAAAGTCTTGTTATGCTCAAGCGATTCTGGTGCGAACTTCTTGAATAGGTTATCTCATTCTCCGCTTTCTTGATCTCCAAGATGTTTAATCTATATCCCTACCAATCTTACAATCCAGAAAGGACAATTCCTTGATAAAATTTTTGCCACATTTATTTGTTGCCCAAAACGTAAGAGTGCGTCAAACTTTCATTCTTAGACATTCAGTAGCTTTTGTTTATCCTGTATCAAGAGGCAAATGATCTTGCTTTCATGTTCTGCTCCTAGACGAGACCGCATTACCTGAAGACAAAAACAGCTTAGCACATTTTAACCGGAAACGAGGGAGGAAGTCTCGTGGACTGTGTCAACATGAATATCGTATAAAAGCCAAATGGCTGCAGTAC